GGGAGAGAGTCACCGCTCTCCCAGCTGAGCTATGACAGCACCTACTGAATATCAGATTTTTTTTATATAGATATAGCTCCATCATTTTGGTCCAACAGGAAGCCAATGGGCCAATGAGGTAGAGGGTAAAGTGCGGGGTAAACTAACCAATCAGAGGACAGAGAAGATCTGCCACAGGCCACGCCTCCAGAGTGCCAAAACCCCTTCACAGCCAAGCGAGCGGAGTCAGAAACCGAGCGCGCAGAGAGGCTGCCGCGCGCGCACGTTTTCCTCTGCTGTGTGCTCGTTGGCAATGCGCGCACGCAGGTTTGTCACTTGTGCACGTCCTTGTGCGCTCACAGACACAGTTTGCTCCCTCTCAGTGCACAAATGACCTCTCGCCATGTATATTTTCACTCGCGAGTCCCGTTCACACGCGCGATGTGGACCCAATCCGCGTGCACGGGTTGTGGCACGGGTCTGACTCCATAACATTGCATCATCTCATTCACTGTCTGTTATCTTGTTTCAACCAACATTCATCATAACTCGTTCTGTCATCAATAATAGTATAAATATAGTATTAAATAGATTTTTATGAACTATATTTTTGCTCTGTCTCAAATAATTCCAAAGCTGTGATTTCCCTGAGCTACCATAAGACCTGGTTTCATCTTAGATTAAATTTCAAAAGATGAATAATATTGATAATTCATATTTATATGCAATATCACATCTTATCGATCATTTATTAAAAGTAACCACTTACATCAAATTACAGTATGTTTCTATGGTGGGCTGGTGTATGTGTGGTTTATTACTCATCACTGGGTCAACAAGTTAGTTTAGGACACTGCTACTGATAAGTGTTTTTATAACTATATTCTAAAATGTTAATCCACCCAGCTGTCACACAAGAGCCAACATCTGCAGAGGCATCAGCTTCTTTCAGCCAGCTGCTGGCAGCCTCTGCCACCCTAAACCAGGTACAGAACTGTGTTGTTATATATGTAAATGTGTAAACTCACTGGTCAACAACATGGTTTGATTCTAAAATGTTTAATCCTTCAGCTTCTACACTGCACCTACAACATACTACCTACCAGCAGCCCTGCCACCCCAGACCTGGTACACACATCTCATTCCACAGAATTAGAATATAGTGTATTATATGGCTCTTGTGTGTTGATTCTATCTCCACCCTCCATGTTTTTTTTCTAGGAAGGAGAAAAAGGGGTGACACACGTCTGGCCACTAAGCAGGAGATGCTCGGGTCAGAGGCTGAACAGGAGGCAGAGAGATGAACGGTTTGATACCATGATGCAGTTCTTCTGTGAGCTGACAGAGAGGGAGTCTAAAGACATCCAGCTCAGGAGGAGCCAGCCACCAGCAGAAGCTCATGGAGGGTCTCTAGTCTGCAGTGAACACGTTAGCAGATAAAAAGTGAACTTGTGACTCCACGTGCACAAAGCATATCATGCACATGTGACCAGTTATTTTTACACTGAAATACTTGAATTTGTAGCAGGCATGTTTTTAATAAATTACTTTAAGAGTCAGAAGTATTCTTTGTCTCTGAGTGATGTCAGCTAGATGTAGTTTGGTCACTCAATATTAACTATTAGTTCACATTAAGCCTTTCTTATCCCCAGGTGTGTAATCTACTCCAGTTACTCAGGTGTGTAATCTACTCCAGTTACTCAGGTGTGTAATCTACTCCAGTTACTCAGGCGTGTAATCTACTTCACTCACTAGGGTGTGTAATCTACTTCACTCACTAGGGTGTGTAATCTACTTCAGTGACTAGGGTGTGTAATCTACTTCAGTCACTAGGGTGTGTAATCTACTTCAGTCACTAGGGTGTTTAATTTACTTCAGTCACTAGGGTGTGTAATCTACTCCAGTTACTCAGGCGTGTGATCTACTTCAGTCACTAGGGTGTGTAATCTACTTCACTCACTAGGGTGTGTAATCTACTTCACTCACTAGGGTGTGTAATCTACTTCAGTCACTAGGGTGTGTAATCTACTTCAGTCACTAGGGTGTGTAATCTACTCCAGTTACACGACGCGTAATCTACTCCAGTTACTCGGCGCGCAATCTACTCCAGTTACTCGGCGCGCAATCTACTCCAGTTACTCGGCGTGCGATCTACTCCAGTTACTCGGCGCGCAATCTACTCCAGTTACTCGGCGTGCAATCTACTCCAGTTACTCGGTGCGCAATCTACTCCAGTTACTCGGCGCGCAATCTACTCCAGTTACTCGGCTGCGCAATCTACTCCAGTTACTCGGCTGCGTAATCTACTCCAGTTACTCGGCTGCGTAATCTACTCCAGTTACTCGGCTGCGTAATCTACTCCAGTTACTCGGCTGCGTAATCTACTCCAGTTACTCGGCTGCGTAATCTACTCCAGTTACTCGGCTGCGTAATCTACTCCAGTTACTCAGCTCTAGAATAGCCCAGATTACTGTACTCTGGTACAGACGTACAGTCAGAGATGTTCCAGGGCTGATTTATTGTTCCTGCCCAGACAAGAGTAGCTCTTTCACAGCGTCTCAATCCCAAAACAAAGTGAAAGTGAATTAAACTCAGCAAACAAGACGTGTTGAGTTCCTCTATTAGCCCGTCAATGTCGCAGAGCATCATCACCGCAAAGGAATTATTTTCTGCAAGAATCCTTGTTCATTTGTAAAAGAGCTGTTTTAATTTTTTCCGTAAACATTATTTCATTACCTTGGAAAATTAAAGCTTTTTATTTTTTGTGGCTGAATTACGCTTCCGTAATGAGCTTCACTGGTATGAGACATCTTGTCTCGCCGCCCCAGTGTGAGTAGCAGCTGGACCCATGACCCAGCCACCCATTAAAACTGGAAGGGATCTGGACTTTGTTTTAGTCAGCTCCAGTGAAACACTGTTTACCACGTAATGTTAGAAATCCAGCAAGGTGAAATCTGGCAAAGTCGGCAACTTGTTTACCTGGGTGACCAGCAGCAGGGAGAACGTAACGTTTGTAAGCTAGCTAACACTTCTGTAAACACCTCTCTCAGTGTGCTACACCTTCCCACAAGTGAACTGGGCTTGAACCAGTAGAAACCAGGCTGAAATGGCAAAAAAACCCAAACAACCTCAGTTGCCACTTTTAATCTCATAATTGACTGTAGACACCCACTTTGGTGGACCCACGTGATCAGGTTGCATAGGTGTAAAAAGACAACTCTAATGTTCCTTATTGTGACATCACAAAATACTTGCTTCAGGTTTAAAGTTCTTGAAACGAAACACTGACAGAAAAAAGATGAATAGTTTTTTTCATGTTAGGAGTTTATAGAGGCAGTACAGGCTCATGGCAGCACAAAAGCAGTCAAAACGTACGATTTATGTCCCTTTTAAAGCGTTAATGCATATTAGATTTTTTCCGCCCAACTGAGGCCCTGTCCACACGTAGCCGGGGATCTGCCAAAATGTAGATGTCTTTCTACATTTTGGCCTGTCATCCACACGAAAATGGAGTTTTTTGCACACGAAAACGGATCTTTTTAAAAACTCCGGCCAAAGAGAAGATCTGCGTTTTCTCCGTTTTGGGTGTCTGCGTGTGGACAGACAAAACCGGAGTTTTAAGGTCCGCAACGTCACTTTCCACGACAAAAAATACTGATATCACGTGTGCGACCTGTGTTTACACTAGCCGACAGCATGGATGCCCTCAGAGCTGCGCTCGCTTTATCAATTGTCCAAGTGCTTTTTGCTTGTTTGTTTTTGCAAGCGGGATTACTGCTCCTTGCGGAAGACCACAGACGAAGGACGAGGTTAAGAACGCCTATCGCCCGGCACCTGGCTTCTCCAAGTACTGCCGCCTACAGGTCTGGCATGTCCTTAACAATGTATTTATCCGGGTACGTGTGGACAGAGTTTTTGTTAAACGAGGTGGTGTGGATGCAAGTTTTTGCAGGGGCGGATATTCATTTAAAAAAAAAACCCCGGCTACGTGTGGACTAGGCCTGAGAGAAAACCGATAAGACCCCTTACACAGGAAACAGCTAATCTGAGCCTTATGGTTCAGATGCTGTACTAACCCAGCAACTAAATGGGCTTGGCAACCCCAACAGAAACTTATGGTCTTGGATTCACAATGATGAACAGACTCAGTGGTTCCCGTGTTTAAAACCAGCAGACTGTCTTCAGTTTCACTAGGTTTGTGTAGACCACATGTGTCAGACACAAGGCCCGCGGGCCAGATGCGGCCCGCGGAGCATTTTTATGTGGCCCACGAGATAAATATCAAAAATATATTAAAACTTGCCCGCTGGCCGATTTTACCGCAAAGACTTCAACTCCCATGATGCTTTGCGGCGTTAGAGCGGAGCCGACGCGCCCCCTCCTTTGTGTTTTTTCCAGCGTCTGCTGCTGGTGTCTGCAGCTCCGCTGTCTCGGACAAACGAAACACTCCTCTCACTCAGCGCCGAGTTCACTCAGCTATTTTCTGACGTTGAAGCCCAGAAACGGAGATTCTAGCCGCTCAGTAATGTGCTCACGAATGAAAGAGAAAGTTTTCTAACTAACTTCCAGACAGAGCTGATATAACTCCAGCGAGCAGCGACACGCTCAAACCAGCACGGCTCTGTGGTTGCTGTCGTCGTGTTTCCTCCCCGACACACAACAACGTGGTCAAGCTGCTCAGACATGTTCATCAGCACAAACCTATGTGAGCGCCTGTTGTCATCTAATGTTGTCGTTATTATGATGAAGATGAACAAAACAACAGGAGTCTCCTCCTCAGCTCAGATCAACCCCATGATGCAGGTATCTGGCTGGAACAGGTGAGCATCACAGTAAACCAGTGGAACAAACTGAGCTTTAAATATGTTGGTTTTATGCTCTTTTTCTGCTCCAAAACATGAAAGTTAACAGGTGAGATGTTGCATTTTCATTTAAGATAAAATGATATTTTTATTTTGTTGTTGGCCCGTGAGAAAAGATTTAACCTACAGTAAACAGGAAGTGGAAAGGCTGCAGATAGATGAATAGAATAGAAAATCCCTTTATTGTTCCTCAGTGGGGAAAGCTAGACGTCACAGCAGCGATGACACTTATTACAGGAGAAAAAAAGGAGAATAAAAAATAAGAAAAATGAATAAACAACAAGAAAACATAAATCCTGAATAGATTTTAAAAATGCTGATTATACCACAAGTAATGAATACCACTGATGCGTTTTTTTTAAGCTGACTTGCTCGTGTGTAATTTGGTTATTCCACATTCAGTGTTAATGCAGAAATAAGTTTGTTTCCAAATTTAAAGGTTCAAAATTGCATATATGTTGATAAAGAAAATGTGCAAATGTGCCGTCACTTTTTCAAAAAATATGAAGTTTGGCCCTCGACTCCGTCCCAGAGTTTCATTTCGGCCCCGTGTGAGTTTGAGTTTGACACCCCTGCTGTAGACCCACAGTAAAAACATCAGTGGACCCTGTGCACAAGGCTCAATAATAAAAGCTGAAATAAAAATGTTACAGATTTGAACAAAAACACCAATGGCAGGATGCTCCCACTGCTGTTGGGTGGTTCTGGGTTACTACTGAAGATGTAGATGAGGGTGTTGGTGGAGCTGACAAAGTAATTCCTCTTCTGTTGGCTCTTGGATCTGCTCTCTGCCAAACAATCACACGTTTATATCAGGACACACCGACATCCATTAGCACAAACTGGGAACATGGGTTATCAGACCTCCAGCAAATGTGTGTGTTGACCTACTTGAACATGAACTGAACAGAGGTTTCGTATCTGATCTTCTCCACATCGGTGACAGAGCAGCTGTGACTACGATCCCATTTATAGATGAAGTTCTGTCACATAAAAAAAACACTTGAAAATCTCTTCCTGGACATTCAAGGCTGGAACTATTTAAAGAGGGCACCCACTCTTTATTTGAACGAATCCCCAGTGGTCTCTAGTATAAATGAGCACCCTGTGAATGGTTTCCTGTGGAAACAGCTCTGGCGCACTTGTTTCATGAAGCTGAAGTTAGTAAGAGAAGTTAGAGTGGTGCTGGGGGATTTGGAGAATATAACAGCAAAATGACTCTTCCACTGAGTCTGATTGCTTTGCAATGTTGATGTTTAATCTCCACAAATAATAACAGCCTGAAGGAGTTCTGCTATGTGGTGGAGTTGCTAATGCTAATGGTTACCTTTTATCAGGCAAGGTGTGCTCTGCTCTCTGCTGGCTTCAAAAATCAGCACAGCCTTCCCAAGCAAAGCTGGGTGAGTCCACATTTCAGTGTGACATAGGTCTGAGTGACTTTCTGACCCAAGAATTTCTCCAGCTAACACCAGCAGAGAGCTAGCAAAATGAAGATGTAACGGAATGAGATGGCTGTCATTTCCCCCCTCTCCTCAGCAAGAACTAATCTGCATGAGATATTGCTCAAGGTCTCATGCATTTGCTTCTAAAACTTCTCCTTTCCAGCTCAAGAGAAGAATGAAGACAAAGAACTTGTTCTTTTTAATAAATCAAGTAACTCTATTTTTAATAAAGCTAATCAAACAAAGTGTTAGTTAATAATATAATGTTGACCAATCTGTGAAATGACAATGTTATGATTAATATGCTTTAATAAGTAATGTGACTTAATCTAGCTGCACTTGACATCCTGATCCACGTAATGTAAGCCACATGACACATTTTATCTTTCTCATCCAATCAGAACCTTCCTTTCTGAAGCGTGGCATAGTCTCTGTGGTGTTTATAAATCTGTCCAACTTTGATTCGACCAGAAATCAAAACATCCAGATTAATAAAACCAGTCCCCACGCCATCTTAGTTCAGTTCTCTACAGTTCACCGCATTCTAAGAGAAGTATCGGACCGGCCACCCGGACTTCCTTTTTAAGCAAAGAACCGACAAGCTGGATAAAATCTGTTGCATTTTACCAACCAAGCAACGGTTCCTTTCAGAATAAAAGCTGAACTCACTGACCCTGACCCTCCGGGTCCATCTGACGCTGTCAACCAACTGTCGCTTTTTACCTGGAGACAATCCAAAGACTAGTCTGTCGTACTGCTGACATTGTTTCATCGGCTCCGGTACCGAAAGGGGGTCTGAGGACCTGGCATTCTGGATCTGTACGGAGGTCTCATCCTAAGGGTATGTATGGAGCGACAACATGGTGTCTTATGTGTTTATGAAACTCCGATCATAGCTTAAGAGCAAAACATCATAACATCATTCAGACTTGCTTCTCCGGATACGAGAGTTCTGATGACAACATAACTCACACATACACCATTCATCTCACGTCTCATTCACACCAAGATCCATTCATCACTTAGAATTCAGGGTTAGTCTTGTTTAAAATTGTTTAGAAATAAATCTTAAACGTTTTAAAGGTGACTCTCTCTTCTGTTGTCTCTCAGTTAATACAAAGCGTTACATAATCCCTGCAATAAAAAGTTCCAATCTTCTGGTTAAAAAGACCCAAAGATCCATAAGATTGATTTCATATTTACCATGGAATGTCATGTCTTATGGTTCCTTAAATAGATGTAAATTAAACCCTTTACAAAGATTATCCAAATAAACTTCTAATCACACAAGCACACAGCTTCATAACTGACTAATGCCACTGCTGAGCGATCCAGGATCAGATGAGCTGGAAATCACTCAGCTCTCTGAAAACAAAGGTGTTCACTAGTAACCTGTTACCACCCGTCAGAACAGGCAATAACAGTATAAAAGTACTGCATGCCACAGAGCGAACGTTCCTGTTGTTGATCATTTCAAATTCTTCTTGGATTGCAGAAACTTCTTTGGGCCAGGTGGGCACTGTTGTCATTTTATTGATTCCAAAACCTTTAGACCTAATTATTGGAACACAAAAATGGTTTGGTAAGCTCAGCGACCTTTGACCTCCATACAGAGAGTCAGAGTCAGAGTAGAGTCAGAGTAGTTTTATTGTCAATTCTACCACATGTGCAAGACATACAGAGAAATGAAATTGAGTATCAGTACACACAATTCAGAGATCAGATATACATGGGCAAGACACATGACAAGAATTGGTGACTGTGGTCCTTCGCAACACGAGTCGCGCTACCTGTTTCCCCAGCGGGAGCAGCCCTGTGTGGCGCTCGGCCAGCTGTATACACAGGAGGGAGGGAGATCTTGGGAGGAGCGCAGAGCACATTGAGTTCCTGCAGGTTGATGACCTCACTAGGCAGAAGTCCACAATCTGAAGGCGTGTGTGTGTGTGTGTGTGTGTGTGTGTGGGGGGGGGGGGGGGGGGGGGGGTAGGACGGGCTTTCACAGCATCTGTCTGCATTCCTTCCTTCGTGGGGGTTGTTGTTGGCAGCTCAAGGCTGCCTTGGCGTCAGATTTGGATAACAAGACCTTGTTTGGGTCAGGCAGAGATAATTTTCCTCTCTGCCTTGAAGTCTGTATTGATCATTCAAGTCCTCCAGTGAAGCCAATTTAGGTTCTAATCATCCCCACACCGTCCGGTGACCCTCTCCGAGATGACTTCTATTTTGCACACTAATACCGGTAATGCAGCAAGGACATTGTCCAGCTTACGATTCACCTCGAGTAACGTCCCAGTCTGTGAGGTCACCGCCCGGGCGGTGCTTTCCGTGGGTGCGGGTCGCACTCCAATCGCTCCCGTCTTCCCAAATTTCCAGAAAACCAGATATCCTCCCACTCCAATCAGAAGAAATCCAGTGATCATCAAGCCAAATATCCACATGTCTTCGACATCCTCAATGGACATCTGAGAGAGGCATACGATCCTCCACACCTTCCAGGAATCGAGCATATATCCTGCTGCGTGTGTCCCTTGAGGGCAAGTGGGAGCCCCCTCCTCCGTTCTCATCGTAGAAAAGATCTTATCAATCGCGTTGAATGACCAATTAATTAAATCCATTTCCAAAAAATAGGGATTTCCAGAAGAAATGCAGAGAAGCGCTCTGTAGGCAGACAGGACAAAGAGCCTTGGGAAAAAAGATAAGGGAGCAAAAGCAGAAGCGTCTGTACTCTGCGGGTACGCAGGTGAATCCAATTATGAGAAAGAGTATTTAAGGGGGCCAATGATAAGTTTCCTTTCTCTTTGAACATTCTCTGAAGAGCAGCAACATGGTGGTCTCAGAACAACTCTCACATGAGCTGAAAACAAAGATTGTTCACCATCATGGTTTTGGTCATGGGTAGCCAACCGGTCAAAGACTAAGAGCCACATGTTTTTACTGCGTTACCCCAAAGAGCCACATCATACACATGGGCACACATGAACATCACCCATCCCTTCTTCACACACACACACACACACACACACACACACACACACACACACACACACACACACACACACACACACACACACACACACACACACACACACACACACACACACACACACACACACACACACACTCTCACAACTGGGGCCCCTGTAACACACACCTTAAAAAACACAAACTTAGATATGAACGTAAGAGCCGCATGCGGCTCAAGAGTCGCAGGTTGGCCACCCCCTGGTTTAGGGGAAGGATACAGAGAGCTGTCTTTCAGCTGTCTGTTTCCACCGTTAGGAACATATTGAGGAAATGGAAAACCACAGACACAGTTCAAGTTAAGAGAAGAATGGTGAGAACAGTCAGAGTCACCCTACAGACCAGCACCAAAGACCTACAACATCATCTTGCTGCAGATAGATTCACTGTGCATCGTTTAACTATTCGGTGCACTTTACACAAGGAGATGCTGTATGTGAAAGTGATGCAGAGGAAGCCTTTTCTCCACCTACAGCACAAACAGAGCCTCTTGAGGTTTGCCAAAGCTTAATTGGACAAGCCAGCTGTATTTTGGAAAGGGGTGTTGTGGGCTGATGAAACTAAAATAGAGTAATTTGGGCAATACAAGAAGCATCATGCATGGAGGATAAAGAACTCGGCATTCCAAGAAAAACACCTGCTACCTACAGTAAAACATGGTGGTGGTTCCATCATGCTGTGGGCTGTGTGGCCAGTGCAGGGACTGGGAATCTTGGTAAAGTTGAGGGACGCATGGATTCCACTCAATATCAGCAGATTCTGGAGACCAATGTCCAGGAATCAGTGACAAAGCTGAAGCTGCACCGGGGCTGGATCTTTCAACAAGACAACGACCCTAAACACTGTTCAGTATCTACTAATGCATTCATGCAAGGAACAAGTAGAACTTTCTGGAATGTTCATCTCAGTCCCCAGACCTGAATATTATTGAACATCTGAGGTGTGAGTTAAAGAGAGCTGTGGAGCTGAGAGAAAGGAAAAGAAAAGGTGTGGGGGTGGGGGGTGGGGAGGGTCCCACAAAAATAAACAATAATGAACAAGAGTCTGCTTCTAGACCTGCAGAAAGAGAAAGAAGAGAAAAAAAAGGGACACAGCAATACAACAGGAGCAAGCTATCACTGCGTCAACTTGAAGAAATATACAATCAGCATTGTTTAACTGAACAATCACATGATAATAAATCATAGTGCATTTAGTGGAAATGACAGCCTTAAGACATGTGTTGAACGTGCCCAAGCCCATACTTATGAGAGCACCATGTGAGCACCTGTGTGTGTACACGTGCTTGTTTATGTAAGGTTTCTCTATAAAAGCGTCCAATGGAGAGTGTGAGGGACCACAGATCTGCCCTCCAAAGATGTGTAGGAGACGGAGGGAGCTCCAAGCCCCAGAGACCCAGGCGCTGCCTCAGAACACAGGAACCCCAAGGAGACTGCAACCAGAAAGGCCCCCGTGAGAGGCGCAGAGGATCGCCCCAGGGGGCCACAACCAGCAGCCGGCAGAGTCCCGGGAGATATCAGCGG